CTGGGCTCCTTCAACTACTCCTCTATACCAGGGAAGTAATATTGCCCGATACGATTAATCCCGAGAGCTATGGAACAGGCCCTATCTCTACCTTGGCTTCCTTATATATTGAATACCTAGACCTACAAACAAAACTGTCGAAAATATCCAAATTGAGTGGGCAGTCTAGGACTGTGGAGTTTGCTGAAGATCGCTTGGAAAAAGTCCTCGGATCAGAATATGAAACGTTCATCGACAATATCGGCGTGGTCCAGAAGACAGTCAATGTTTTGACTCAGAAGATAAATGTCGATTCTGGAAACCCAAGGCACGAAATCGGGGACTTTGAAAAGAAGTATCGTGAGTTGATAGGCGATCTGAGAAGTAAGGATCTCACCAGGGTGGGAAACCCGGATATAAAGGTTCGTTGCCATGTCTAAGCTTCCTCGGCGATGTTATATTCTAACCAGGGTGTAGAGGCTTGAAGAGGATATTGAATGGCTGCTACAAAACTTCCAAAACTTGTTTCCCCTTTCAACTGCTGTACATGGCCCTGCCTCTGCTGCTCAATTTTTAACGAGCAGTGTGAAGTGGACAGCAACGCGCGAAGAGGAGGAGCTATACACGAATTCCGTGCTGGCGGCTGTGAAATCAATGACAACCAACTTCAACAAGTTGAAAATTCCGTTCAAAAAGCTGTTGGAAAGCCCCAACGAGCTATCAGAAGATTTTGAGAAAGGAACATCTATCGTGTTCTGGGGGATTGAACCTGAGAGTCAACAGCGTCCGCACAAGAAGCCAGTTCGAATTATGCGGCAAACCGGCCTAGTGGGTCAAATTCAAGAAGCTCGACATAAGGTTTTGAATAACCCGCAAGCAAGGGTCGAGGCAGAGCATTTCAGCCCTAATGGCAAATACCGAGGTCGGTAGGGCGTCAGTCATCTCCCTGGCAGCATTTGTACTAACATGTCTTAGGAATATGTAAACTCAGGTTGACTTACTATTCTTCTGAACACAGAAGCAAAGTCGAACCATTACGCGGGGAAGCAACCGGCTGGCTATATGACCAGAGAACTGTAGTGACTGCCGGCCACTGCGTATATGGCGATGACAGAAATGAGTTTAACCACCAATATGGAGTCACATATGCCACTGATATCGACATCTACCTTGGATATTCTGGAGAGGAGCCTTGCGATGACAATACCTGCGAGGTGCGCAAGGGCATCTGGGTCGTCACTCATAAATACTGGCACGACTACCAGGCCGACCACTGTGACATAGCTGTCATACGTCTCAACAAACCATTTGAGCATGGAAAACCGCTGATAACAAAAGAACCTACGCCCACCTTCGAAAGTCAAACGCTTTGGGTGGTGGGGTATCCTGCTGACGTCCCGGAGTACTCGGGCGAGCCCGAGAGCACAGCAGGGAGGATCATGTACGAAAGCAAGTGGGAGACAGATCGTCGAAGCTCTGAGGAGGTTCTCAGGTACCGTGCAGATACATCAAAAGGTAGGCAAACACGGAAATCCACTCCTATACTAATATATCTAATGATGTCTAGGTAATTCGGGCAGCCCTGTATTCATGATGCCCAGCGACCTGGGAAATATGGAGCCTACCTTACAAGTCATTGCCGTCCACGTTCGAGGAGAGGTTGGCAAAGATAGTCCTAACGATGGGCTTAACTCTGCTACCATGTTTGGCTATTACGGAGTCCGCCTTTCGACGTTTGTGTCCGGTTTGAGCCAGATTGAGAATATGCCCCGTGTCCAAACCGAACACCCAAACACAAGCGCGACCGGGATGCAGTCATGGCAGCAGCAACCCAAAGTCTCAAGCCTCGACCTTCTGTATAGGTCTGACAGCGCTGCCAATAGTCCGACAACTCGCCGGCAAAACCCCAGTCATAGTCAAGGCGTGTCTGCGAAGCCGCAACTTTGGAATCATCAAATGTCGCTCACGTCCGAAGGTCCACGATTACATGATGAGGACAGGGACCACGAATTAGTGTCACCAAGACACACGAAGCGTAGAAAGCACGAAACTTTCGCGGACCAGCGGCTGTCTCTCGACGATGATAGTATCTTACAAACGTTGGAGTCCGAACAGGAAATGGCACCTGAGATAAAATGGCGATTGGACGGCCAGCTCCGCCTGGAACTTCAGAGATTACGAGTCGAACAATCAATTCGACCTTCGATGGAAACAACGAATTCTTTGCTTTACAACTGGATCCTTGCGCAAATCTTTCCGCCCCTCGACCGCGGCCGTGCGCCGCTCACTGGCTTTGTCGAAGGCCCGAACTTGCCAAGCAAGAACGATGACGAGTCTTGGGTCCGAAAAGCTCAGCAGGCCACTAGTGGGGAACCACCACGCCCTAATGAGCTCTCTACGCTCCTACTGGATCTTTGGAATACGGCCGACAAGAAACTGAATGTCACCGGGACGCTGCTTGGGGTCAACGCTCGCTCCAGGTCTGGAAGCGGCACCTCTTCTGACAGCAAGATATCACTCCAGTCGGCCATAGAACTGCACCCCGAACAGGAGTGGGCGGTGGCAGACAATGAAATAGGTGTTACTTGGATCAGGAGGCGACGACCAAGCGCTTACCTAGAACCGTTACTTCAGGATTCCCGATTCGCACAATCGACGTCTGCTGAGCCGGATTGGGACCCAGGCCCTGCTCCAGTGTTACTATTCTTCCTAATCTCGCCCAGTGTCACACAAGACATTCTTGAGCCCGAGTCCCCATTCTCCCATCAGCAATATCTCGAGACTCTGACACTTTGGCAAGCACTCAAGCTCAAGGTCAACGTAAACGCCGGCCCTGGTGGTGGCGGCGTCGAGCTAGAGGGATGGTTTGCTCTGTTCCGGTCCTGGTGCCATCCCAGGAGTTGGCTGAGCTTGTGGAAGGGCACTAGGCGGGAAATCATCGACATGTCACCAGATAATTCGACGAACCATTCTGTCAATCGAGAGCATTTGCTGAACTTGGAAAATGAGCTACTCTCAACAACGAAATACCAAGGAGGCAGTTCGAACTACCTGACTGTCATCACATATGATGAGGAGGACAACGGCGCAATTTCCTTATACGAAGCCAAGACGGCACAGGACAGCGGATTGGCCATTGGCATCGACTTGATAACGTACATGAGAGAAGTTCCTCGGAGGCTGCTTCTGATGAAAAGGAAGAACGTCAACCCAAACAGAATTGATCTCGTCTATGCCCACGGTCAACTGATTGTCCGTGTGGATGGAGATCAACAAGAACCTACGATTGTTAATGTCAAGGACAGCAATGGCAAGCAATGGAAAACGTCTGGATCTGGATGGTCGACTGCATTGAAGCTTCCCGACCCGGTCAATGGGGGGCTCCTGGCTACAATCCCTCAAATGATCGCTTTTTGTCACCTTCATGCAAGACACCTTACGGGGTTGAAGTCTTCCCCTGTGCTTTCATTTGGAGCCCTCGAAATTCAAGGTTCGGCACAAACACTGGATGTACAGAGGGGGGTTAAAATTATAACGACACCTAAAGGACCACCCCATCAAGGCAATGTCGTAAGGGTTGCTGTCTTATTCCCAAGGCAAAACCGGTGGTCAGAGGAGGTAATGTTTTGGGCGTGAATAGGTGGCACTTACAACCCCTTGCTATCTCGCTTGTGCTATCTAGCTTGCTATTAGGCTCGAAACCATAACTATCTATTCTAAAGATTGAGTGGTTTCCGCGCAGACAGTGCGGGCTAGCTAAGTTGGATAAGACGTCGACTTCTATGATATGATATGATATTATTTAATGTCGGGAGAACTTTGCAGCTGAGGCCCCTATCGAGGTAAAGGACGTGTTAGGTTGATGAGTTCTAAGTACGAAAAACCTTTGGTTGGCTATAAGCCCTTTGCACGCGATTTCATGTCTTTGGCAAGAAAGCTGTGGGAACGGGTGACCATGATCAGCAGGGAGCCATTCACAGCACGGCCAGGTCATGAGATTGTCGTCTTCTACTTCGTGTCGACAACCTACCTCAATCCTGCGGCCGTAGGCCTCTCAAGGAAACCTTAGAAATCAGCAGCCAAGCCAGTGAGGTTGCGAGCCCAGAAGCCAAGTATCCAGCTTTGAGTCGCTAGGCAACAAACTGCGAGTTACGGTCCAGGCTCTGGAACGACGAACAACTGGGCCGCCGCAATTGAACGAATGGATCCCCCACTCTCTCATCTAGGCCCTCAAACCCGCTGGTGCCTCTGCCATGCCGGGCTCTTCCTGGGCAGCCCATACCTGAGCTGTTGGAGAGATATAAAGGACCCATTCCTATTCTATAAGAATCTATAGCGAGTAATTCGTAATGACAGTCCATCTATCGCGCTCTTCGTATTTACCGCTCTTATATCCGTTACATCTAGCTCGATTCGAAATCTACTTAGGGCATAGGCGTTTAGCAGACATTATCGATACGGCTACTTAGGATATAGATACATATAGATAGCGACAGGATCAGAGGAAGAGGCCGGGCGTGAGGGGGAGGCGCCTCGCCTTTAAATGCTTCCCTCTTTCCTCCACGCGCGACTGCCAAAGACGACATGCTAGTAGATGCACCGTTTCCTGGTAGCTGAAATGTGAATGTTGGTTGCCGGATGCGTTGTCCTTGGTCGCGCGACGGTCGCGCGACCTTTCGGGGCGGCTCGCCCAGGCATCCATGCATTGCTCAACCAGCTCGCGCGAGAGCCAAAGCCGCAACTTCCGCAGAGTCACTCGTGACAATGGCGGGCACTGCCGTGTGTTTTGTCACGAGCGAGGCATCTGCCGGGATAGCACTGTCTGGCTTACAGCAGTAGTATCTGGCACGATATATGGCAGTCAGGCAAGAGTTGATTTGCATGTCCGAGACCCCGGTCGCCGCCCGCGTCCGGACCGTCGCGCCGACGTACATACGCGCTTCCGGCCCATCGGCCTCCGTCGCCTCGTCAAGCAAGTCGCCATGACCTGATGGGCATATGCTCCGCCAAGAGCCAACCCGTCAACGGCCCCCCTCCTCGGCGCCGACGCTCCCGTCCCGCTTCCCGAACCTCGCCCCGAGCCCGCCAAAGTCCTTCTTGAAGAACTTGCCAAAGTTGCGCAGGTTCTCGTTGATGGTCGCCTTCTCCGAGCCGCTCGGCCCTGCACCGGCCCCCATGCCCATGCCCGTACCCGCCGCGGCGCCCGTCCCAATGTCCCGCGCCGCGCTCAGCAGCTTCTCCCCCAGGGACCCGGCGTCGAAGCGCGCCCCGGACGCCGCGCTCAGCGCCGCCGTCGGGTTCATCACGCCCAGTCCCACGCCGCCGACGCCGCCGCTGCTGCTGCCGCTGAGGTGCGGCCCCGTCATCAGCGGCGTCAGCAGCGCCGAGTTCTGCACCAGCTTGTCGTTGGAGCCGCTCTCCTTGTGGATGTTGAAGAGCTCTATCAGGTGCGCCTGGTCCTGCTTCCGCACGCCCTTGAGCTCCAAGATCTTCTTGAAGTTGGTGTCGGACCTGTCGCCGATGTGGATCAGGTACGCCTGCACCAGCCCCTCGGGCGGTGACGATCGCACTTGCAGCGTCTTGAGCAGCGGGTCCATGCGGTTCATCGAGTGCTCGACTCGCCTCACAAAGCCGGACGGCGGAGGCTGCTGGTTTGACGACGGGTTGTGGTGCGACATGAGGGTCCCAAACGACTTGGTGAGGGCGTACTTGTCCACAAGCATCTGCGTAGCCATGTCAGTATCCGCACGTACTTCCGCCGGCACTCACGCTCCCTGCTTACCTGCTGTGCGCCAATTTCCGAGATGGGTCGGCATTGCACAATGTTGGCAATGTACGCCGTCGCCAGGTGCTCCACCAGATTGTCGCAAAACGCCCGCGCATACTGCTGCTTCGTCACCACGCCCAGTATCTCCTCCGTCTTTCCGTTGACGTGCCGCACGAGCTCGCTGACGTACGAGCTCTGGTCGCCCGCGCTGTCCATGGTGCTCCAGTTGGTGTTCTTCATCTCCCGCCAGACGCCGTCGCAGTCCAGCTCCACGAGATGCACCAAGGCCAGCACAGCCGCACTCGCCACGCCGAGGAAGGCGTCGGACTGGGACGAGAGGTCCACCTTGGGCATGAGGTCGTCGTCGATTCTCTTCTTGATGCTCTCCTCGAGCTGATTCGTGTTTACGTGCCAAAAGTCTGCCGTGTTCAGGACGAGCACCGCATCCTGCACCGACGGGCCGTGCGGTCCACCCGCTTGCAACTTGTAGAGGAGCACTTGTTGCGCATACTCGTCCAGGTACTTTGCCAGCGTTCGCGAAAGGTCCAACAGGCGATCGCTCGTAGAAAGCTTCGCACATTGCGACAGCGTAAGCTTGTAAAAGTGGAACAATTCGATGGCGGACGTCATGACGGCTTGGGGTGAGAATTCCTCGTCCGGCGGGATCGACGGTTGGTTCCGGTATTTGGGTATCATGGCCGCCAACTGCCTATCCTGTGACTCAACCCAGAGGCTCAGGTAGGGCTCAAAAGCAACCGATATCAATCCGTTGAAGTTGTGCGCCCTGCCCTCTGTCGAACTCAGCGTGTCGATGCTCGCCCGAGGCTCGTTGGAGAAGCGCTTCTCCAGCGTCTGCTCAAAGTCGAGCGTCTCTTGCAGACAGCTGAGGAGCAAGTTGACGTCCACCTTGTTGCCATCCACGCGGCGCATGCTCCGCTCCAGGATGCCCTTGAAGTCGTCACGCGTGCCGTCGCAAAACGCCGTGGCCAGCAGCTCGCCCATCCGCCAATGGGGCGGGAAGATGGCCGCGTGTTCGTCCTCGTGCGTCTTCATCATGCGCTTGAACCAAGAGTACCGCCGCCCAATGTTGTCGAGGCTCCCCGCCTCGTCGTTGCCGCGGAACACCTGGCGGTACTCCCGCAGCTCCGTGTTGACGTACCAGTTGATAATTCGCGACTTGGCAGAGTCACCGAGGGCATCCATGACGAGGCAGGCCTCGATCAGCGTGCCCTTCTTGGAGGCGACCTCGCCCTTGGCAAATGCCATCTCAAAGTCCTCGCACACCTGCTCCAGGAGCTCGCGCTGCAGCTCCGAGACCTCGCGGCTCAGCGTCGCAATCTGCTCTATGCTCCGGTAGCTGTTGAAGTGCTTCATGAGCTGTATGACGGCCTGCAGGAGGCCGGCGCACTCGCGGTATTGCCTCGTCTTGGCCAGCCCCCTGAGCTGCTCGTAGGCCGTCGTGAGCATCTGCAGCCGCTTGAGCGCCGTCATGCTGAGCGTCAGGTTGCGCTTGGTGCCGTCGAGTCGCTTGATGTCGGCCGTCATCGATGTGATGTTCTGCTCCGTCTCGATGGCGCGCGACCGCACCGTCTCGATCTTGCGGAAGAGCTGCGCGAGCTCCGTCTGCGCCGACTGCATGCGCTCGAGGCTCGAGTCAGGCTGGTAGGCCTGCTTGGCCTCGAGGGTGTCGATGTCGCTCGATAGCTCATGCTGCCGAGCCTTCAGGGTCTGCGAGACCTGGCTGATGGAGGAGACGGTCGAAGGGTGGGAGAATAGCTGGTTGAGGTGCACCATGGGATCGTAGTCGACTGCGTCGCGAGGCTGTCAGTTGGAGTCGGCGCCGGGGGGTGGGGGGTCTTCCTACCTGCGTCGAGCGACGATGCGTGCCCATAGTTGCTGTTCATGCTGTCGGACGAGGCGGCCAGCCAGACCGCCCGTGCAGAGTATTAATGTTGCGAAACAATGCGACGGTCCCTATCCAGGAGCGAGGGCTGCGGGTGGTTGAGCAGATGTGGTAACGTTAATTCTAGGTGGCTGAGCTCCCCCATCCATGGAGGCCAAGCATCAATCGAGGCGTCGGCGCGGGTTAGGCACGGCGCTGCTACTAAGTTACTTGTCATCTTGCCCCGGACTGGGTGCTGCGAAAAGTGGGGGGGACCGCATGGGGGCCCTCATCAGTCCCAGGCTTCACTTATGAAGTTGCTGGGCGCTGGACTTAACTACCCTGCAAGACCACCTTATTTATGAAAAATACGTTCGGTATATCAAGTACTTTTGCGCCCCTTGCACAAATGGCGAGCTTTACTGCATCAGCCATGTAAGGGTTCAAAGCTTTCCAAGTGTCGCTTGATCCACATTGGCTCGAACTTCGCGCATCAACATCAACATCAATGCGAAGCACGTAGACCCCTTGTCACCGTGGCTTCCTGGCCGTCACCACCACACGTGTAGAACCCGAACGGAATCCAATACCCTCGTCACAACAGACACAACCAAGCACAACAAAACAAGAATAGCCGCTGCAAGTAATGTATATTGAAGCTGCGCTGTTGGGTGTTGCATGCCAAGAGATAGGTGTTGGAGAGCCAAGCAACGCTCCTCACTCATCGTCCTGAGGTCTGTCCATCTCCAGGCTCTCCTTTTCCTTCGCCGGCGTGTCCTTGCCTTTCTTCTTAATCGAAGACATGGAGAAGCGCCACGAGCTCATCCTACCGCCTTCTCGGCCCTCCTTTGACTTCGACGGGCCCAAGGACGGACTGCTTGCCATGCTGTCGTAGCTGCGACCCAGCACGGCTGCGTCTTCTCCGAGGTCATCCAAGTCGCCCAGGCTAGACCTATGCTCAGCCGACATGTTCTTGTCCGAGTTGCTGGCGCTTCCAGGCGCCTTCTTGAACAAGCTGGACTCCTTGCCCAACCTCGACGACAAACTGAACTTGCTGGAACTCCCTTTACGGAACAGTTTCCTAACAACGTTTTCAGGGTCCTTCGAGTATGTCGCCGCCAGGTTCGTTTCCGAGGCAGTGTTTGACAGTGCCGGGTCAAGCTGCAGCGACTCATGAGACTCGGATACCGATGGCTGCGTGTGGACCGACTGCGTGTCTCGCGACATTCGAGAGTCCGATGGCGAGTCGTCGAAGCTTGGTGGCAGCTCAATGCTCGGCGTGCCGACCGCGGAGCCCTTGCCCTTGTCCTTGGCGCGGTCCTTGTCCTTGTCCCTATCTTTCCTAAAGATGTTGCCCATGTTTCCCATAAATGTAGGGGCATTGGGGTTCAGGCGTTGGCTCATAGACTTGGAAGAGCCTGGCGGTCGAGACCCAATGACTCCTACTTGACTGGGCATCGTGTGCGGGTCCAGCAGGGCGTCGTCGTCCAGGATCTCGTCATCCGCGGACGCGAGGCTCGTCGTCAGGGGGTTGGACCCTTGCAGCGATGGGCGCCTAGAGCCGCTTCGAGAGGGCCAACGGCCCTCGTTTGGGGACCAAAATCGGTTCTTGTTTAGACCGAGGGCCTCGCCCGGCGCGCCCCAGATGGAGCCGCTGTCTGTAGATGGTCGAGGCAACTCCGTGGACGCTATCGAGGCCGGTCGAGACAACTCGCGATCGCGGTCGGGGAATGCCGCAGACGGGGAGCCCTTGAGGGGCCACGCGGACAGAGGCCTAGAGACGGTGATAGGGGGACCCGATGACCCGCTGCTTGGCCCGACAGAATTGCGGTTCGACAGAAAGGGCAGGTTAAGTCGCCTCCTGGATGCCACGGGCTCGTTTTCCTCAGACACGGTCGGAAACGACTGGCTTTGCCCGGGCCTCAAGGAGCCAATCGGGGGACCGCCTTCGTCCGATACTCTGGAACCTCGATTGCGCTGAAACGTCGAAAAAATGCTGGAAAACCTATGTCCAGTGGGAATAGGCGGAGGCGGCGACGAGTTCACGTGTAACGAGTTCCTGTCACTATTGTCCGTGTATGGCGGGAAGGGCAGAGGCAGATGCTGCGAGGAGCCCTGTGGGCTCGAGAAGGCCTGAAAAGACCTGCTGGAGGACGCGGGCGATTGCGGCCCGTGCGATGGCCCGTCTTCACCCGCGGTAATGGGCTCTGGAAGAATTGGGCTTTTTGGCTCCATCGTGTCCGCGTCTTCGCTCTCTTCAAAGATGTTCGAAGGTAGAAGAGTCTGCGCGGATGGACTCAGTGGACCGCCGGCGGCCTTAAACTCGGCTTCCGTCTGCGCTTCGTTGGTGCCGTCACCCGCAAGGTCCATGAACAGCCCTGGGGCAAAGCTGGGGTTGCCAAAACCAATCGAGGCCTGGAAGTTGAGTTCCGCTGGAGGCAGGCGATCAGGTGATGGGAGAGTCGTGGCCGGGAGAGTGTTGCTGCCGAGGCTCAGCCTTTTACGCTGGCCAGAAGGCGGTGGTTCAACGTCCATGTTGGAGGCGGCCGCCGCGCCATAGTATGATGCAATACTGCTGGCCTGGTGGTGTAGGCTCGACAGCTGCTCCTGGAGCAAACGCATCTGCTGAGCCAACATGTGGTTGGTCTTGGTCTCCGAAACGAGCCGAGCGTGCATGTTAGCTCGCTTGATCTCCCATTCCCGCCTCATTTGCTTGTCCTCCTCTTGCTCGTCGTCGGCACCGGGGAGTTGCTTCCTGGCATCCTTGAGGTCCTGCAACTGTTTGCCCTTGTCCTTCAGCTCTGCTTCCAGCGCGGCGCATTTCTCCTGGAGATCCGTGTTGTCTTGGTCGAGCGTCTGGACGTCCCGGTCGCGTTTCTCGGCTAGCTCGATCTTCTGCGTCTCGAAGCCCTCGCGTTCTCGCCTCATTCTCTCCACCTCGCGTTCGTACTTGGCGATGGTGTCCCTGATTTTGGCCTTCTTGGCATCCTTGTCCTTCAATTGCTGCTCCATTTTCGCTCGTTCCTTTTCTGCGGCACGCATTTGTTCCATGGTGGTTCGCATCATGGTTTTGAGCTGCGCCGTCTGCTCTTCCTTTTCCTTGATGAGCTGGCGTTTGCGGTCCCTTTCCCTCCTCAATTCTTCCTCTTGCTGCTGCGCCTCTGCCTCATCTTTGGCAAAGAGAGCCTGTGTGTCTTCAATCTCCTTTCTGATGCTTTCGAATTTCTCGTTGAGCTCGGCCAGGGACATCTCCGTCTCGGATGGTGCGGGTTGCTTTATTTGTGGCTGGTCGGTACTGGCCACGGATGGCGAATGCCGCCGCAGCGTGTTCCTACGCTGCCCCTGCCCAGGTATGATGGGCCCCGAATCCCGGGAAGGAGCAGTAGCACCGCTATCTAGGACTGCCGCGGCCTCGACTGTCGGGAACGGAAGCGGGGGTCTGTCGGAGTTATCGCTCTCGTCGCCGCTCTCTCGTGGGTGGTCGGGGTCGACGAAGCTGGTAGGCAACCGCGAGTTGCCTAGTTGTGGCCTGCCATCTTTGCCAAAAGTTTTGAGACGTATTAGAGGGCTGCCTGTTCTAAAGTTGTTTTGCCCGACCGCGACGACCCGGATATTGTAGAAATGATTTGGTTTCAGCCCCGTGACGGTGATGGCCGTTTCGTTCGCCGGTGACTCTCCGACTGTCGCGAACGCCGGGTTAGCCGCGCTACATTGAGTTGCAAAAGAGGACCTGTAGGAGGTGTTGTACTAACCAAGCACTCCATTAACTTGTATCAAGTACCTCTGGACAGGACGTTGGGTCGGCCGCGTCCAGCTCAGGGTCGCGGAATCTGCTCCTATTCCTGCGAGGGAAACATCGGGAGGGAGCGGTATGTCGACGCCGAGGATGTTGACAAGCTCCGGCACGGGTTTCCATAGAGTCTGCCATGATCGATGGAGCAGCCTTGGGCTGTCAGCACACGTGTCGACGATGCCAAGCGGGCGCGAAGAGGGCAGAGCGGCGTTGTCGCGCAAGGGCGCGGCACGCGAAGACGGAGCTGGGGCGAGGCATAGGCCAAACTCACCACACGATGGCGCCGAGAGTCAGCACCATCTTAAGCTGCTCTACCGGCGTGGCATTGATGGCGGCGTCGTACGTGGATGTGCACCAGTCCCGCGCCCGGCCGTGGAAGTCGTAGAGGACGGCGAGGCCGGTGAGACCGACGTGTAGGTGGCCTGACCTGCTGGGAGTGCCGGACTGCAGGTTACGATACCACCACAGACCGAAGGTGACGACGCAGAGTATTGTCAGGGTCGGGGTCTCCCATGACATATTCTCTACCGTCGTGAGCGCTGCCGCAGGTGGACGACAGGGCGACAGGTAACAAATGCCTTGCCTGGCTGGTGTCGTGGAGATGCCGGCAGATATTTGGAGGGAGGGAGGGGGGAGGGGGGTCGTTGGAGACGGGAGGATAGATGGGAAGAAAAGGCTGAATGGCGACGGCAGGGCTGGTGCTTGGGTGCTTGGAGAAGATGGAGGTGCCGTGCGTGGCTGGACCCCAGCCAATGCAGCAACACGATTGGCGGGGAGGGCAGCGGCTGCCACGGCAGTGGTTCTAACTTCTGGCGGGCGGTATGGATGATGGCGGGAGGCACTCCGTAGTGGGATTTACAACACCGTCAGCGGCAGGGCAGGCCCCAGCCCGCCCAACCCGACCACAGGCAGGGGCACCTAGGCCAGGTGCAGTGGGCACTGGTGACTAGTAGGTGTGGTGCGTGCCCACCCGGGAGTGGCCTTGGGGCCGGCGTTTGAACAGTGGACCGACGGACCGACATCGACAACAACAGCTTCAGTGCAGATGACCCATCACTAGGTAAGGTAATAAGCCATGAGTACCTAGCAGACGTTTATACACGCCGGGCACGTCAGGTATGCAATGCCGCCAGACGTTTCCGAGTTGCTGCTTCCCGCGCGCGGACGGGTATTGGAAACCGATCCTACGTTTGCCACCAATGCCTTCATACCACGGCCGCGACATATTGAAATTTCGTGCGCGGGTTGTCTTGTCTTCGCAAGTCGCCTGTACGTAATGACCGGCGGCAGTTTCCACCCGCCTCTGCCACGCTCTGGCGGGAAACTGAGATGCGGCCAAGGGCCGTTGGACGAGTCCAGCGCTTCTTCGCGGGAAACGTCCGTCACCTTCAGACGGGCCGGCTGGCCAAGTTGGAAGGTCGTCAGGGCTTCAAGCGCCGGTGGCGCCTTGTACACCTGTCGTCGACGGCTCCAAGAAGGCGCACTGTCTCGATTTCTGCCTGCCCTCCATTAGTGCCGGCGACTGCAGAGCAACATGGCATTTTCCATATCGGGGGAATTCCCCGCCTGCCACGGTGGCCCCGATCGAAAATTTGCGTCCGCGGCCACCCAATTTCAAGTAAGGCGACTTGCTCGGTGTTACTACCTAATACTCAAACGAGGCAAGCAGCCTAGGATGCATCTCTCGCTTGACATGAAAAAGCTGTCACGCCGTCCGATCTGGCGCCGGGCACGGGAGTGAAATGGGTCATTGGCATTTCGCTGATTGGCAGCCACAGCCCACATTTGGCCGTCGGCATGGCAGTGGAGGAGGAGGCGCCGCGGCCGAGGCATGTTGGCCGCGTCGGCGTTGGAGAGTGTGGGTGGTGAACGTGGGACGCGTTTTGAGTGTCTCATAAAGCTAGCTCCTGCGTCCTGCTCGGGGCCTTGTCTGCCAGGCGTTTGCTCCCAGGTTCTTGGAGCAAAGCCAGCTCCGGACCGGGCAGCTCTTCTGGTCACGACAAGGGCACCAGGAACAGTTGGCTGGTGGGAGATGACATCAGTTCGTGGTTGCCGGCCTGCCTGGCGGCGTGTATAAGCGGGCTCGTGACACGCGGAACCCGGTGGATCGCTCATCAGCCAGGGGGCCTGTCGTTGCGTTGACTCGCTTCCGTCGCAGGCAGGGAAGCGAAGGGAGCTGTGGCTTGGCAGGTCCCTGTCTTGGCCCGCGTTGAGGGCTCAGGCGCTTGATGCTTGATTGCTGTCGCCATGGCGCGTATAGTAGACGAGAGAGGTCTTCGGGCTGGATTGAGTTTGCAATTTATGCGGCAAGGCAGCCAGTACCTTGCTTTCAGTGAAACAGGCACCCTGTCCTCGTGATGGACGCCTGAGGGAGAGGACTCGTGGTTCCCTACTATAGTACCAAGAGAATGGAACATGGAAGGCACATGACGCCGTGACCCGGACCGCGGCTCGGCAGCGGCGCCAAGTGCAGGGCACCTTCCGATACCTGCCCGGGCTGCCCGGTCTTGGCTGTCAGTGCGCCCCGGTTCGCTGGCGGCGCCTGGCGGGCAACCCGCTGGGGGGCCTTGGGGGGCCTTGGGGGGGTCGCATACGAGGAGCACATCCAGGGATGGGCTTGGCAAAGTCCCCGAATGTACCGACAGCATCCCGCCCACTGGCCCGCCGCTGGACTCCCGACGACGGGACACCAGGCAACCTACCGGAAGGTAGCGGGGGCGCACTGATCTCATCAGTGATTCATTGGCGGCGGCAGCGGTTTGGCCCAGCGGCTTCCGCGTTCCGCCCCGCCCTGCGCCGTCATGTGCATGTGCTGCTGCAGCCCAGCCCAGCCCGCCCCAGCCTTCCCGTCCCTGCGGAACGAGTACGCCCGCACGTCTCTCTTTGTTGGAGTCGCCGCAAGCCATCCATTGGGGAATTTTTTTTGGCCTGGCACCGACGCCGCCTCAACACCCGCCCGCGCCCCCATCGCATCGCCCATCGCTTCCCACCAACCCGCCAACCAACCTCGCCGTCATCCTTCCTACCGATCCTTCCCCCCTCGCATCCTTCGCCCGCCTCTTGTCCCGCGACCTCGCCTATTCCAGCATACATCTGGCTTCAGCTACTGTGCTATTCTTGCTTGCTTTTGTTTCTGCACCGCGTACTTGCTTCGCGCAGCACAGTGACATACGGGCCATCGCCACCGCCGGCTATTGGTTCCCCACGGTCCTCTTCACAGGCCCTGCCGTCGCTCCGTCCCGTCGCCGCTCGGCCTCACTCCGAAGCCCCAACCGGCTCTGAGCCGTCTCGCTCTTATAGTAGACATCAGACGACCCAGGCGAAACTGCCCCGAGCAAGCGATTTCACTGCCGACACGAAGCGAAATCGTCATTACGCTTGCGCCGCCGCCACTTTCTCGCCGCCTCGAGAGCCGTGGGGCGCGCGGTCCCAACCTACTGCAGGCCTCAACCAAGTCCTGTGCATCGTGATACACGTTCAACCCTCGGCTGCTCCGCGTAGCCGAACCGCATAGCGACAATGCAGTACGTGCGCAACCTCAGCGACTCCGTCTCGACAGCCTGGAACTCCATAAACCCGGCCACTCTCAGCGGTGCTATCGATGTCATCGTCGTTGAACACGAGGATGGCGACCTGTCATGCTCACCCTTCCACGTCCGCTTCGGCAAGTTTTCGCTCCTGCGGCCATATGAGAAGAAGGTCGAGTTCAGAGTCAATGGAGTCAAGCAAGACTACTCCATGAAGCTCGGCGAGGGGGGCGAGGCTTTCTTCGTCTTCGAGACCACGGAAAACATCCCCGAGTCACTCCAGACCTCGCCGCTCGTCTCGCCCGCGAGCAGCCCGCCCTTGCAGCCGACTCAGCCTGATCTCCGTGACCCGGAGCCTCTGGAGCTGGATGATGGGACATTGCGGCAGCGCAGGCCGCCGCCCGCTGTCATCCACCAGCCTGGCGAGAACGGTACGCCTCAAAATCAGTGACCAGTCGTACCTGTATCGCTAACCCGCAGCTAGGCATGCTGACACCAGCCTCTACGTCTCCAGCCCTGTCCAAAGCTCGACCTGCGTCGGGCGACTGGTCTGCAACCCTGACGAGACCCCACAGCGACGACCTCCTTCGACAATCCGCGCGCGCCGCTGAGCGCGACGAGAACCGGCCTGCCGAAGGAGCGAGCGTGGACATGTCCGAGAGGTCGCACAGCCCACCGCCACTCCCGACAAAGGAGGCCCTCGAGCGAGCCGCGACCCTATCCAAAGAGCTTTCGGCGGCCAACATCCCAACAAAGGTCACGGAGACGGGAGACCTCATGCTGGACATGACGGGCTTCAAGAGCAGCGAAGAGGATATGCTTCGAGCCGAAGTCCTTGCCCGAAAAGTCTTGTCGGAGGAGCTGGATGGCAACTACGACATTGGCGCCCTGTTTGGCTTCGACGAGGAGGGCAACCTCTGGATCTACACGAGCGAGGAGGCGAAGCAGGCGGCCATGAACAAGACGATAGAGTCGTCTCTGCAGGCCCACCGCCAGGCCGTGGCTGCTGATGCCGTTTCCGACCCCGGCTACCAGAGCGATGGCAGTGACGAGACCGCGGCCCCTCATCCCCCGTCGCATCGGCGTTCCGAGTCGGACGCAGGCCCGTCGGGCATGCAGACGCCGCCGCGAACACCACCCGAGTCGGCTCCGGCTGGTGATCCGAACCGCAACTACGCCAAGACCTTGCGTCTGACCAGCGATCAGCTCAAGGCTCTGGATCTGAAGCCCGGCGAAAATTCCATGAGCTTCACCGTGAACCGCGCGACTTGCTCCGCCAACATGTATCTCTGGAAGGAGGAGACCCCCGTCGTCATCTCGGATATCGATGGCACCATCACCAAGTCGGACGCCTTGGGCCACGTGCTGAACATGATCGGACGAGACTGGACGCACGCTGGCATTGCAAAGCTCTACAGCGACATCTCCTTGAACGGCTACAACATCATGTATCTGACCTCGCGGTCCGTTGGACAAGCCGACACTACCAGGGCATACCTCAATGGCATTGTTCAGGAGGGATGTCGGATGCCGCCTGGACCCACCATCCTGTCTCCAGATAGGACCATGGCAGCGTTGCGTCGTGAGGTGTACCTGCGAAAGCCCCACGTCTTCAAGATGGCTACATTGCGAGACATTCGCAACCTCTATGGCCCGGACCGCCTCGCCTTTTACGCTGGCTTTGGCAACCGACTCACGGACCAAATCTCGTACAGGACCGTCGACGTGCCTCGAACGAGGATCTTTACCATCAACTCAAACTCCGAGGTGTCTCTTGACCTGTTGAGTCTTAACAAGCTCAAGATGAGCTACGTCAACATCAACGAGGTCGTGGACCATTACTTCCCGCCGGTGGGCACCCTGGTCAAGGGCGGCGGCGAGGATTACACCGACTTCAAGTATTGGCGAGACGACCCGCTGGACCTCGACGAGTTCTCCGCGAGCGACAGCGACGAGCCAGACGCCCCAGCCGACCAGGCCAGTCTGTACTCGGAAGACGACGACGAAGAGGTTGGTGACGGTCTCGCTGACAGCTACATCTCTCGAGGGTCCATGGATGAGGGCGTCGATGACGAACACCTGGCGCAGTCGATGGAGAGCGTCGAGGAGGAGGACGACCTTGAGGACGCAGATGAGGAAGACGGGGACGAGGAGTACGACGACGAAGACGAGGCTGAGTATGACGATGAGACGCCGGTGGTTCAGCCGGTCACGAAGACCAAGACTGCCTCTCCTCAAGCGGTGGAGGAGGACGTCTCGGCTGAGGTGATCACAGGGGTTCGTCACTTATCCGTGGGCGGGAGCGCAAGCAGACTGAGCTAAGGAACGTCAACCAGATGAAGCGAGGATTAGCCATAACCGATCCAGGGACGCTGGTAGAAGAACCGGTGGAAATCCGCCCCTCTCCGGGGGTGGCCAGGTAAAGGGCGGGCGGCTGGCTACCTGCACGGGAAGACTCGGACTGCACGACGGCCCTTGGCTATGAGTGTTGCATTCATCGGACTTAGCATTGCGCAGCGCAGGAGCGAAGAGGGCATGGGCCGCGGGCCTCAGCACACGTATCTGGGACGAACTGGTTTAAGACGGCATAGCGTGGCGTTGGAATCACATGGCGACTGACGGGAGCATGTTGGGAAGAGGCTGTAATTTTGTGTAGGTGGACGTGAATGTTTTAGTATGCCCGCGTGTTGGAGTTGCATTCTTTGTTCTTTGCTGGGGTCTCCTTCGCACTGATGCATCCTTGAGCTCAATTATGTATTTGGCTTCCTTCCTAAGAACACTATGAACCGTCTCACCCAAGTCCGTTGCCTGTTCTTACTATTGCGCGGCTCGCGGCCTGGCTCGTGCCCGCCGCGACAGCACGTCCTGACGAAAACCCACTACAGGCGCACCGCTCCTCCACGCAACAGCAGCCACGCGGTCCCTGAACTGTGTTGGCATGGTTTCGAAATTCGTAACTACACTTACGTACGTGTGTGTTTTGACGCAACGTTTTTGAAGGTTCACGGGCCTGGAGGTTAAAAGAAACGTCGACAACGGTATTGACAGCGCCCCGGCTACGGAGACGTAACGGGCCCTGGACTTATTTTAGATGTATCCTTTGCGCAACGAAACGCCCTCGGGGAGCGAGGAGAGCGCAGGACAAGAGCGTTTGCGTAAAGAGAGACTCATATAAAATGTCAAAGGTCAAGTCGGCTCCGAGACTGTGAGAGAGTCATTCCCGACGCACACTCCCCCATCCGCTTCGCAAGCCCCCGCGAGTCGCGGCCACGATGAAGTGGTGGTCCTTCGCCGCGGCAGCAGCGTCGTCGCTGGCCCTCTTCGGCGCCCCCGCGACGGCCGTCCGGCCCGCCGAGAGGCTGCCCACGATACGAGAGGACTGCCGGGAAGACTCGCCCCCCGGCTACTACCACGACGCCCCTCCGCACTACGACGAGCACCGCCCCGAGCAGTACGACAAGAATGCGCCGGCGTACGGCAACGACCACGCCGTCGGGTGGGATCGCGGCTGGACAAAGAAGAACC